TAATAATAATAATAATAATAATAATAATAATAATAATAATAATAATAATAATAATAATAATAATAATAATAATAATAATAATAATAATAATAATAATAATAATAATAATAATAATAATAATAATAATAATAATAATAATAATAATTACAATTAATGTCAAAATGTAAGTTTGGACATGCAAAATAATTTTTTCTATTGGCAGACTAATGCAAAAGATATACATAACTAAATAAAAAATGTAACATGTCTATGATTTGTGCACACTTCTGTACATATCTAAACAGTTATATTCTGTCTATCTTTAGGCTCATTATAGGTGCCAGCACAATGTTTATGTCCGATCAGACACGGCTAATCAAAGACGGCTGTCAAAAAATACATGCTGTGAGGCAAAACTGATTTGCACTCTGGTGAAGACTACAGACAAAAGGGGAGGAACTAGTAGGTGAGTTAGAAATGTCAAGATGGGATAAAATAAGTGATTTTGCCTGCTTTTTGTGTGATTTGTTTTTATTTTTCAGGACCAATGATCCCCATATACCCACTTACCCAACTTCTGTCCATTTGTACAATGTACATAATCATAACATCTTTTTTGCGGAGGCACTGAGGCACAAGGATGTAGGGGTCAAGGTAACTGAAACCCTGACTCAGTTGTTTGAGGTTGGGCACAGCAGTTGCTTTGACAGACTTATGTAGTCAAGACAATCAATTTCATTTGCAGACTGTATCAGAAGGTTAATAAGCAGGAGTTTGGAGAGCAAAGTGGGAAGGGAATGATAGCGGCTTTGGAAAGGCAGATAGAACCCTACAATGCAGCCTGTAATGACACCTGCGCCAAGCTTAAAATATCTTCAGCAGGAACACCACTTGTAGCCATTTGTTCCCCGTTGATGAAACAAACACACAGTCTCTCCAATAGTGGAGAAATGTGTTTTATGGATTCATCTGGTAACATGGACCGGGAGAACTGCAGGGTGTTTCTCCTCCTCACACACACCTGTGCAGGTGGTTTTCCTCTTGGGATAGTGATAACCCAGTCAGAAGATGAGAAGACAATTAGTGAGGGATTGGAGCTGCTGAAGTCCTTATTGAAAAATGCTGCCTTTGGAGGACGAGGTGAGGCAGGCCCTTGTGTGTTTTTGACAGATGATTCAAAGGCAGAGAAGGGAGCTATAGCACAGGTCTTTCCTGAAGCCGCACAACTGCTCTGCATATTTCATCTTCTGCAAGCTGTGTGGAGGTGGTTGTGGAACAAAGAACACGAAGTTGAGATGAAGGACAGGCAGACACTGTTCAGCATAGTAAAAGACATGCTTTATGCCAGGGAGATGAGTACAGTTGAATTACTCTACCAGCAAGCCCTTGACAACCCTTTGACCACCAGGTAGAGAAAATAGTAGACAGGTAGAGGTAGCTTAAATATTTAGTAGTACTTCTGATGCGTTTACTCTCCAGAGGCCTATTCTGAGGGTTTTATTGTATTATATTTATTTACAGTTTCTTTTGTTACTACTTACAGATACAGGAAGTTCCTGACCTATCTACAGAGTCTTTACAGTCGACGTGAGAGTTGGGCTCTCAGCTATAGGAGGGACTTGCCAACACGTGGCAACCAAACAAATAACTATGTGGAGGCTGCAATGCGTGTCTTGAAAGACAAAATACTTCAAAGGACAAAAGCATTCAACCTGCCTCAATTATTCAACCTTTTCATCACCCGACTAGAGATGTACTATAAAGCACGTGTGACAGACGTTGCACTTGGCCATTGGGAGGCATTCCACCGGTCAAGATTACTTGCTACACAAAGTAATATAAAAGCATCTGATATTTCTCAGGTAAAAAAATTGTTGGTTAATTAATGCTGTCCCTCTCTTTACTGCTGGGATGCTTAGTTGAGTAACAAGATCACTGTGCATCTCGATTCTCACAAAGATGTGTTCTGTGTCCTAGTGTCCTTCCAAGTCCGTTCTGTGCATTCCTATAATTGAGAAACATCCAGTATGTCTATATTTTTTGTCTTTATGTCACTGTTAGGTTGGAGAAAAGACATTTCAGGTGAGATCGTCCACATCAGGGCACACCTATACAGTGGACATGGAGTTGGAGCTCTGCACTTGTCCAGTTGGCCATAGTGGGGCACCATGCAAACACCAGGCAGCAGTAGTGCAAAATTACAACATCACCTCCATCAACTTTCTCCCCACAACAGCTGAAATGAGGGCTAAGCTGCTGAAAATAACAAAAGGTAATTATTACTTTGTAGCATAGGTTGTCACACACACTGACTGATGCTGTTTTTAAATACTGTCTTCTTTAGATATTTTAACTATTAACTAATTCTATTAATTACTTGTCCTGTTCATCATCTTCACAGCCTCAGTTTCTCTTGACTTTCTAAACCCTTTACGGCAAAATATGCCAACGCCAAGCACATTAGCTCCAGGTAAGAAAGTTCAAGTGGGACATAGAAACGTCATCATACATGCTTAATTCTTAACAAAACAACTAGTACAGCAGTGCGACATTAGTATACATTTGTTTTAGACATGCCTCCCAGGCAAGAAACCTGCACTATTGATCATCAGTATCATCTCAGTGCTCAAGATGATGGTCAGTATAAAGGGAGGGATGGTGCTGTTTTTTTATGTATTCTTTTTTTCCCTTTTCTTTCTAATGGTGGCATATTGAACAGAAACACTATTGTAACATTTCAATTTGTCTATCTGTATCTTATGAATTGTAGAGTCACATCAGCTGGACCTGTCTTCCACCAGCTCTGCACAATTGCGCCAAACATCACCTATGCAAGAGGACTCATACTCCAACCAACCCTGTGTACAGGTTAACTCAGAGGGAGGTGAGACCATGAAGCTTAGAGTTATATTAAAAATTCTGTCTAGATGTTTATTTGGGCCAAGCACCTTTTTCTAAGTTTTCCCCCCCAATGTTTCGGGGCATTTTGGGGTCCTTAAAGGGATAGTTCACCCTAAAATGGTTATTGGTTGGTAATCAAACAGTTGCTGGTAGCCATCGACTTCCATAATACTTTTCCCATGCTATGTAAGTTTGGAACAACATTATGGTGAGTAAATGATGACAGATCTTTTTTTTTATTTATTTTTTTTACTTTGCACACACGTTGGCATAGTCTGCCATTTGGTATTCTTGCTTTAACTTTTTTGGTCTTTAGTGCAAGCTTTTTAGTTTTAGTTTTTTAATTAAAGAAAAAGCCATTATTATAACTATAGTATATTTACTATAGTTATAATAATGGCGTTTTCTTTAATATTTTGTATTTTGAGGGGATCTCCTGCTACTAAACAATATTCTGTATTAAATTATACACCATATATTTCTGTAAAAAAATAAAACTATTAAAAAACACATTTTATACTATTTTTTTTTATAAACCAGTAAGTTAAAAATAGGTAAGTTAAAACAAAGTACTTAATTGGTATTTAAAATCCAATGAATGGAGGCAGATTAGTAGAAAGAAATACATGCAATCAAGTGCAATACTGTAGTATAACCACTAGATGACTGTACAGGCATATATTTAAACAGGACTGTGTGATACCTGTTGTTGAGAACAGTGTTTTCAGACAGAATTACTTGTATTAGGCATTTCATTTGGGTATACATTTAGATAATATCAAACCTTCAAATCATACAACCTTTTTTCAAAGTTTGGATTTTTTTTTTTTAAATTGAGTCTTCTGTCAAACTGCTAAACAGTCTCCAACTCAGCCTTTTTTCTCCCTTTCTCTCTCTCTCTCTCTCTCTCTCTCTCTGTGTGTGATTTCTGTTTTACACTCATGATGTTTTCAATTCTGGTTTGTGTTCCTTTTTGTTTTTTGGATTTATATTAAAATGAGTTCGTTTTGTGTCAACGCGGTGTAGCCAATCAGCGCTGTGATATAGTTGACCAATGAAATCGAACCAGAGGCAGAGACATGAGTCATGGCTGCGGGGTGGGATTTTCGCGTTGGGGGCGTGGTTTGCGCCCAACTGGTTTGGCAAAAAAAATCACGCCTTAATCGAACATTGCGGGAAATTTGGATGAGGGTGTTTACAAATGTACGTATTACAAACCAAAAACACGGTTCCTTATTTTAAATTTGCATCTGTTGAACTACTTTAGTGCAAATTGTTGAAAGTGTAAAGATGCTGAATGGTATAGTATAGTTGTGATGTTGTTGTATAAACATGTTTTATTATGTATAGCTAACGGGGGCTCCAGGAAGCACACGTACATCTCCAAAGTAGATTTACATACATTTTAAACCATATATATCTTAAATACCATTACTAAATGTCTATTTAATATCTGGTAGGAAAATCTTCGATATGAATTTCATAGAAGTATGTCTATAGGTCCTAGATATGGAGTAGACATCTGAGTGTATATGTGTGTTATTGTGTAGTAACGTACAATTCACTGTTGTCAGCACTGTTTGCAATAGATGAATGTAAGTAATGTAAATACATTT